TCTCAAAAGGGTACTGCACAGCTCTACCCTCCTCCCTGTGCAGTAATCATTGAAAGGTATTACTGAAAAGATAAAAATCACTCCTCCTGGTATTCATCTGCTAACAGGCTAATTTCAAGCTTGATTAATGGGCCCAAATGAAATCTTCATTACAATCAAAATTTCAGTCTTACCCACTACTACTTCTACAAGCAGCATTAAAGCATTTTCATCTTTTGTTTTGCTGTTAGGATGAGGCGACTTTGCATCTAAATATAATAAATGCATTTAATATGATGAAAGACAGCAGTCATCTCAAGGCAATTAGAGAGACACATCACCCACTCTAAACATTACTTATCGTGCTTTCTGGTTTACTTCATTCTTTGTCTGTATGGACAAATTAAGGAATTTGGAACTCCCCTGACATTTTCTCTCACAGCTTTTCCAAAATGATTAACAAGGAGCTGCTGTGTTTAATCCCAAAACAATAAAAAGGGTAATTGCTAAGACAAAATTAAGTGTTTACGCAACGATTTGTGCAAACAACTTGTTCTACTGTTTTTGCTGTATCAGTGTTTAATAGAGTTAAATAACTTCTGTAACAATGGTAGATTTAAAAAMCAGACCATCATAAAATGCCAACAGCTGCAATTTTTACTGCAGTCAAAATAGAAATATTTAGAAAAAAACATTTGTGTGTGCTGACATATACACAATTAAAGACTGATTAATGCTGTGGTTTGATTTACCAGTTGTAACTCACATTTTATAAATATGTAATTTCTAGCATGTTTTTGAGTCCCAAAATCAACAATCACAAACTATTTCACTTCAGGCTGGTTASAATGTAGAGCAGGTTGCTGTCAACTCCATTACTAAATTATATTAACAAAAACGCTGTAATTAGATCATAAGAGTTGTATTTAATAAAATGGCAGTTGGTTTTGTCACCACAAACTACCAAAATTCTGGTTTTTTTTTTGTCTCTGAACAATATAACTTCATTACAAAACTGATGTTCAACTTTTCAGGAGAAAATKAACTGTTCACACACAGATAAATCGTTTATCCTTTGGAACATAAAACTGTTACAAGTTTCCTACTATATCTGTAATACAAGAGTTTGATCCTTCTAAGCAATATCCTCAAGTGTCTCCCTTAAACTCATATCAAAGCCAGCAAACCAGTTTCAAAGGAAGAAGAGATGCAAAGGAGAAATTCTTAGATAACTATAAATTCCTGCTCAATGAAAGCTACTCCCTTCCCCAGCACTTAGTAAGAAAAACCTTTCTGGCCTTGAACTTGTAAAGATAAGCTATAATGATCAGCTGAAGTTCATGGGGCTTCAGTTGCACCATGTACAGTTCTGCACCTGCAAAAGCTCTGTTTTGGGGTGGACGTTTTTGTTTTGTTGTTTTGTTTTTTGTTTTTTTGTTTTTTTTTGTTTGTTTGGTTGGGTTTTATTTTGTTTGTTTGTTTGTTGGTTTGGAGATTTCTTGGGGGGGAGGGGCGAAAGGCGAGATTAAATTTAACATTGCGAGGATGACTTGCAAGGCGGGGGTACAGCCAGCCTGCGTCAGCCTCTAGAGAAACTCCAACAGACAGAAACTATTGATAAAGCGATCAAGGCAAGGAAGGGGCATTTTTCCAAAGTCAGGGCTTTATCCTCTAACGGAGGAACTAACAAAAAGAACCCCCAAGCCCTAACCAAACCAAACCAAACCAAACCAAACCAACCCCCTGTGCCCGTTCTCCCTTTCCCGTCCCGGGTTACCGCGGTTCCGCCGCGCCGCTGCCCCCGCAGCCGCTCCTGGCCACAGCCGCGCCCCTGGCAACGCGTCCCGGGAGAAGGACAAGGGGGGCACGGCACAGGGGCCCTGGGTAGGGAAGGGCGACAGTGCTCCCTGTCTGCAAGTACACGGTCTTCACAAAGGCATGATCACAAGAAATGCAGGGGTTTGCTGCCTTGTGTTTGTTTTCACTTCAATAAACATTACGTGAGAAAATTTGCTCACATTTTTCCTCAAAAAAAATCAGAAGAGGCGAGCGGAGCAGATGGCACTCGAGCAGGAGCTCTGTTATCCAGACAGGCTTTCCTTTCCTTCCCCCCGCAAAGCTGCCAAAGGAGCACCCCCACAGCCCGGAGAAAGCARCCTTCCCCGCAGTGACTGCGGAACTGCCTCCCGCTGAAAGAGCACCGCCTCCTCTTCCTCCTCACCTTTCGTCCARATAAAGTGGACAAACATAAAGAGAGGAGTTGAAGGCTGCAGTRAAAGAAGGTTAGACCTGTGTGTGTATTCGGGCTGCACATGATTTTCTCTGAAGATTCTGTGAGTTCTGTGAGCTGTTAAATCAGCCTCTGGGGACAGTGCCATCGTGCACCGTTTCTGTACTCACAAGTCAAAAAGTCCCTCACCTTTCTCAGGAATGCTGACTTAATCATGTTTTCCAGAGAAGAAAATGAAAAAGCTACCTTTTTATGTCCATGTCCCTGTGTGTCATTTCACTGCTGTTGCCGAGGATGGCCCAGAAGTACCAAAACCACTGTTCTCATTGCACACAAATGCTRGTGCTGTAGCAGAGGAGTGAAACCCAGCAGGGCACTTCTGGTGCTGGAAATTACACAGTGCTGACAGAGCAGATAGGGGTGCAGAGAAGGAYCAAGCTGCTACCACTGCATCGGGCAAAACGCTGCTCCTCATTCTACAATTCCAATCTACAAAGTATTTTTGACGGGTTACATCTGTACTGGTGGTCTTATATAAACCCAGCATAAATCTGGCAGTTTTACTATCCACTGCAAATTTGAACAAAAAAAATCATCCTGGATTTGTCCAGCATTTGACTACAGCCTAATCTGTTCTACTACTGGAGCGGCGTGCAGATACAGGATTAAATGATTGCGAAACTTTCTCCTAACTTTCCTAAGCATGTGCTCGAGCACACTTCCCCATCCCTGGTCCTGCAGTGCCACGGCTGGTCCAGGAGTTACACTTCAGCTGCTTTTGCACCCTCGGTGATAGGAAGCGAATGCTTATGCAGCTGTATCTATCCGCAGATCTATGAAGTTATTTGCCTATAAAAAAACCACACTTGAATCTGATGAACTGTAGCAAGAGTAAAAACAAAGGAGACAAGGAAAAAAAAAAAAAGGATGAAGTGGAAACGTCGTGTGACACTGAAAAAGAACAGTGTTTTAGGCAGTTTTAGGGAGTGCAATGCCCACTCTTCGAGCCATTTGACTGAGAAAAAACTACCTTATTACACAATGCTGACATTTTAAAATGTTTTACTCGTTTGCTAGTATTTACAAGTAAAGTTCTCAAAAGAATTTCATGTTTCTTTGTCCTTAATAGGGACAGGAAATAACAATTTAGGAAGGGTTAACTCAGAATTTTTCATTATAAGTAATTTCAAGGAGTCCTTTTCAGTAAAAAATTCTTCGTGTTGTGTTTCATGGAAAGGATGTTCTCAGCCTTTCTGAGCAAAGAATGTATCTCAGCACATCTCTTGAATGTATGTATGTACCTAATAATGTCACATTAATTTTTGAAACAAAAAAAAGACAAACTTTCCCTTCAATGAAGGTGCTCAGTGTTAAAAAAGATGCTTAAATTGAGCTGTGTAATGAAACCCCAATTCCACTACACTCAGAAATGTACTAGCAGATATTCTGCAGGTGTTGAAATGGGAATGGATATGTAAAAATAATTTCAAACCCAAAAGTCACATGATGATGTCCCCATGATATGCCCATGTTGTGGGGTCAGCAATCTTCTGAAGGAAATAACATGGCTTTACAACCCTGGACCTGCCCCCAGGGACAAAGGGGATATTGAAAATGTAATGTGCATATGGGGGAAACTAGTCAGGCTTGGGAAAGAAGTGGGAATCTGTGTAAGTGAAAGCTGCTGCTGATGTATTGGGTCATTTTCAGTTTGAGCAACTTAAACCAAAAACAAAGTCCTTGCTAGTCTAAATTCAACTCATGCAGCTGTTTTGTAAATTCACTGTACGTGGAACTTAGGTTTCCACATATGTATGAAAACTCCCTGATTTGCAACTCCCTGGGCAACTAGCTCCTGCTAATGCTTCCATCACAATCCACTGCAGTAGYAGCAAAACTTCCAAGGAAGATTCATGGCCAATCTAACACCATGAATGCAGTCAAGGCTGCATATCCAATACAGGACAAAGGCACTCAAGTGTAGCTCTAATTCAGGATTACATGAAAACAAGAATACGGCCAACAACAGAAAAATGGGGATGTTCTTTATTCACATAAAGACATAGGAGCCCTCGCTGCAAGTTGTAGGCCCTTCTCTGTCCGTAGGAATTCACCTGTCTTCTGATTCCCTAACCTTAGCCCAGGGGTACACATAGTCCTGGAGTGGAAATAGGACCACTACACAGATATACAAGAGTCTATGGGCAGAAGGAGAAGTAGGTGGAAAGACCCTGCAGCTAGCTTGAGGGAGCACTCCTGGGCCCTAATCCTTTTTCCAGAACTGTTCTGCCTTTTACACAGATCATAGACTAAAACTAACAATTATGTGTGTAGATAAACCATCTAGGACCAGAGCTCAGTGTATATCCTGATCTATGACAATGGTATTTTCTTGGGAAGTGGGAGRTAAGAGCTGAAACCTATTCCAAATGCAACTAACTCTATGGTCAGGCCTTTTATCAAGAATCACTTGGAAAGCATCAGCCTTCCCATGGTAGTGCAAGACTAATCAATTAGTAAATATTAAGAAAGCAAATTAAAAACCCATAGTATATCATTTTATATATCTTACCTCAGCTTTTAATCTTTCACTTCATTAGACTTGGAAGAGGTGGTCAGGAAAAATACATTTCTACCACGATGAAATTTTTTTCAAACAGGGAGTTTGAAAGACTATGATTATGTAACTTACTGAAAATTGATACAACAAAAGCAGCATATGAGTACTGAATATGTTTATTCACTGTATATTATCATAATAGGACATTTAGTATTTATTTTYYWKTGTTTTAGAAACAAAGCCAGAAGAGCCAACCCTCCAAAAACCCTTCTCAAAAAACATCTGCAGAATTCACAACTGCAAAGCTGAGGCAGAATGTGGACCAATATCTATAAACTAGTTCTTAATTCATGTAAAAATATATGTAAGTGGACTTTTTCTTTCCAGGGCTGCTAGAAATAGAAGTGTATCAGCAAGATAAAAATGTACAGAAATTTTCAAAACTTTTTTAGAAAAAAAAMCCCAGCAAAACAGAACCAAACCAGAAAATATAAACAGTCCTTTGTATAGGACCTATTTTYCCTCACATGTGTTCTGCCACTGGCATTTGGGAAAGAAAGAAAATTACCATTTTAACCAGCACATTTTCACAGTTTTATTTTAAAATCCTTAGATAAGTGTTAGGCAAATTTCAACTTATATTTTTGCTTTAAATAAAAATAATTACAAACTTTTGTTCTGTAATTTTGGGTAAACAGAAAGCTGGTAAGCAAACAAACTTTAGTGAAAAAAAAAAAAAAACAACAGTTCTGTACAAGATTCCATTTTGGAATTTTTATTTTAGACACAATTAAGGGTTTCTTTTTAGATTAAAACCATTTCATAGAGTAACTTTCATGCAACAGAGGGAACTTTTTTCTATGCTGTCTGACAGCACAGGAGACAAACGTTCACATGGAACAAGTTGTCAAATAGTTAACCACAAGTGCAAATACACTATGAACTTTAAAGAAATTATCTCAACAACAACTGTTAGGGTTTATGATCAGCAAGGTGYGTAAACCAAAGTGTCTTGGAAATATTTAGTTACAGCAAAAGTAACACCAAAATATTTCCAGTTTGCTGAGAACACATGGAGCACCTCTTAGTTCTGGAAGTGATCCTGAAAATGACACTACCAGCTGCAACAACCTCAGTATATAATTACCAGATACATTTTAAGAGATTCTCAATGATTTTTAAGATTTTGAAATTTTAACAGGAATACAAGTAAACTAAAACTTAAGAGAATTCCTTATTATTTCCCTGTCTTGTTATAGAAGAACATTTTATGATACCTGTCTCTTGCATCTGTATCTTTCAAAACCTCATTGAATAAATATGTTTTACAAGTTTATGTACAAAATCTGTTTCAAAGAAAAAAAATTCAGGAACTAAGACATGCACTATTTTAAGCTGGCTTCCCCAGCCACTGAAATAGTGTAACGATGTTTGACTTGCACAAAATTATATAATTTATTTCAATATTCTTACAAGTTTGTAGTCATAAAATCAACTTACTTTCCTCATCAATCCATTTATCTTAAGAAACCTTATATACATAAATTATTGTAGATATCTTACATGATAACTTATCGAGTATTCAGACAGATGTATGTACTAGCTTCCACCGTTCCTGTAACATTACTTTCCTCCTACTTCATCAACAATGAAAGTCATCACCATCAAAAACTGACTTAGAAATGCAGTTCAAAAGGTAGAAGACAAAAATAAAAAGTACAAAATATTGTCTTATTGTGGTTGTCAGAATTACTGAAAATGSTTTTGTTTTTTTGCCCTAAGTATTCAAATAGCATATGAAATTAAAATCTCAAAAATTTGGATGTACAAATCAGTAGCTCCTGAGACATACTGCACAAGTATTTTGGGCAATCAGTTGTAACACAGATGTATAGAAGGAACTTTCTTGAATACTCARGTAAAAAAAATAATGCTATATTACAGCACTTGCTATTGTTCAAACACACTCTTTATGTTGTTTTAACAGTAAATACCACTTAAACACAAGAGGCTCATGCTGCCATTTCACAAAGCTGTATTACAAATGTAATTAACACTGAATAGCTACAAAAGCCTTTCCTATTTTTAAGTAAACTGTAGCAAACATATCAGCAGAGCACAGCCCTTTACTGGAATATCTGTCTTAACAATATTGGAATACGTGTCTTTTTATTTCATGTGAGACTGCAACACTGGCATTACAGCAACAGTGATGTGTTCTTTTTTTCATACAGTCAATCAAAATTTTACAAAAATATAGCCAACCAACAAACATAAAAGAATGTTGCCTGTTCAGCTCTGCCCAGAGATAGCACTTTGCAGTAACAACTATAAAAAGTCAAGGGTTTGGAAGTTATGGCTGTGCATTCCTTACATAGCCACACAGTCACACTGTGCATTRCCATATAAACTTCTCTTTGTGAAGGGTAAAAGAGGAAAAGTGAACTTTTAATCAACTGGAGAATAGAACTATTTTTTTTCAGCATGACATCATGTCTCACATTAGCATTCACATGCTAAGCTATGAATTAAATGTCATACAATACTCTTCAACATTCAGTAACACCATGCAAATGCCACTACATCTCCTAAGTGATTTTATAATTTCTAGGATTCTATTTATCGTAAGTTCGTAATATTAATTTTCACTGATCTCATCGTGAGTTCCCGAAGTAACAGCTTGAAAGCAACCTGGGCACAGGGACACACTAACAACCAGTGAAAAACAAAACCAAGTTTTTCAGCATGTGTAAGGACTGTGTAAGAGGCAAATCTATTTGTCAAGGGGGAGCCTCAACAGTGACTTTCTGACAGATTACACACTTTTAAACCTCTCCAGCAAATAAGGTCAGCACCTTACAAACAATCTGAGCACAGGCAAAGTGTGCAAAAAATTTTGTCTYGTATTCATTTTGGCTCTCTGAGCAAGGTATGATGTTTTCATTACATGTATTCCTCAACTTCCACTCCTCTGTTCTTGAGCCAATGTTGTTGCTTCAAAGTGCATTTGAAACAAGTTAACAGCATTTTCAGAGAGGAGGCACTGAGGCTCTAGTGCACAGATTCATCATGTCCTTTACCTATTTGTTCAAAGCACTAAAGCTGGAGTCCTGCTGAGCTCTCCAGTCAGAGAAGCCTTCAGCAGTTTGAACTTCAGCTTTCTTGACTGGATTTCTAATCTCTGCAGTTCAATCTGGTGCCTAAGGATGAGCATGAATTCACCCTGTAGGAGTACTAAGCCAAAGAAACACAAATCTCAAAATTAGAATCCTACCAACAATACCACACTGTCTCATGAAATTCCTTGCATCTTTATTTTTGAATATGTAACCTTGGAACCTTAAAACACTCTTTCAAATTTAAGAACAACACAAACAGAAATCATCAAAGTCATCAGCATTCAGAACATACTTGTCCACTGCATAAATCCTTATTGCAGAAACATAATAAGCAGCAGCTTTTGAGACCAGGGTAGAAGGGTAGAAATGGGCAYCTAACAACTCCAGTTAACAGGAAACTGTATGGCAAATGCTTCTCTAGCCTGCATTTCTCAGTGCACTGGGATTCTATTTCCRCCCTGAAAATTAAGGCATCCTTCTTAAAAAATAATCAAACAACAAAAACCGCCAAACAAATACATTTGAATAATAAAGAGAATTACAGAAGGAGCCAGCAGTGCTTAAACCTCTTACATACACTGCTGACAGGCCAACTGCAAAATCTGTATTAAATCTAAAATCAAGTTAGTGTAACTGCTTGGGTTCATTAATTGTTTGGGGAGGCTTTTTTGTGAGCTTCTTTTTGGTAGAGGTTCTTAAATAAACAATATCTTCAATATTCTTAAAATGAGATTGTCCTTTCTGCAACTTATCTTCCTACCAGATGGGACAACTTCTCTCCCACAGGCAAAGTAGCTAGCAACATTCACTTGTACTTGAAAATTGAAATTCCCTTTTCACTTCTAAATGAATGTTTACAAGCTGTCACCCAAYAACTTATCACTTAATGCAAAGCAAATTCAAAACATCAAAAGAATCTATCTGGAATTAATTTCTGAGTTCTCTAAAATASTAACTTCCATGCTATGCATGAAATGACACATGGAGCACAAATTATTGWAAAAAAAGTAAATTCACGATAATGTGGGACTGGGGAAATTGTTTCTGAAGCAATTTTTTCACTTGTTAAGCTTTCACTTGTTAAACTCATACCCACTGATGAGGAAAAAAACATTATGGACAACTAAATATTCATCTTAAAGATCTGCTGACACTGGACATTAGAAAAACAAAATCTATTGAAATGCAGATTGATTTACGTATACCAAGACAGTTTATAAATTTTCACACAACATTAAAGTCTTCTGTGGAACAAAAACAACAAATCACTTGGGAGGAAAAAAGTGCAAACAAAAAAGAATCTTTACTGAAGCCAAGATGGAACTGAGAAAGGAATTAAACTCAGACTAAATCTCCCTTTCAGAGTATTAGGAATCATTTAACTAGAGACCATCATCAAACTGAACTATCCCATATTTTCCATTTACCATCCACTCAGGTTCAGAAGCCTGAATTTGCTCACCTTGTCCAGGTTTTAGGCCAACCTGAGTGTCAGATTTCAGTGTTCTCAAACTACAGAGAGGTGCAGGATGAAATTTATTCAAGGCTTGATGAAACGGGACACTATATTCCCATTTTCTGTCTCCCGTCAATTTTCTATAGTTTAGATCACCTTTGAAAAGAAGCAAGTTTGACTTCTGTAGCTCAGCATAGAGGTCAGGAGCAACTTCACTCATACTGGAAAAGTCATGTGGTAAAGTCCAAAACATGTGGTCACAGAAAACCCAAACTCCCTTTTTCAAATTGCCCTCCCAGTTTATMCCACATCTGGACATCCACATATGATTAGCTGACCCCAATTGTTTAATAGTCCAGTTAAAATCATGCTTTGTGGTATCTGATACATACCATGGAATACGTTTTCCATGAAAACAGACTTCATCAGCTAGCTTTGATGATAACAAGAAATCAGCCAACACAAGATCACTTACAAGTTCAAATCCAGCATTATCCAGGATTATGTCAACTCTAACATTACTTTCTGTTCTTATTTTTTTGGCATTTACAAGTAGTGACCAAACCTTTTCCATATCATTCACTAAGATGTAGGGTACCATGTTTTCCAGTGATTGCAAAGGACTAGATTTCTGAGATCTGTCTTCACCAGCTGAAAAGGAAAGGTCACACTTATTGCCCCACAATGACACCTAGAAGGAAGAAAAAAATCAAAAACATTTGSTAAGTCTCATTGTAGCTACATTTTAAACTTTACATACATTAAAAATTTTGTTCCTTTGTTTTTGGTTTAGGTGATAAAGTTCTAACTCACATATTCTTCTAAGATTTTACAGAACCCAACTTCTTGTACAGATATCTTAACATAAAAAAAGATTTTGTGGAAGAAACCAAACAATGCTCTGTATTTACCCAGGCATYAGAAGTGACAAAGATGGAAGATTTAGATCAACAAAAATACAYTGAGCACAAAGCACAAAACATAAATATTGCCCATACTACAAATCAAAAAAATATCAGTGGTGATACAGAAAAAGCAATAATAAAAGCAGACTTATTTTTTTATTACACACAACTAAATAAGTATATTAACTATATATATTTTAAGTACTCACTAATGAGCTCCCTTTGTAAAAATTCATCAAATACTTGGTGTGCACTGTTGCCAGCTAATGGACTTATATGTAATCCTATGATACTTTGGGGTTTCTATCCAAAGCAACTCTATTGCAAGACTAATGCTGTTATGAAGCTTTTAAACCACTTCGGGCCCAGAATGACTTCTAATTCTTTTCTCCGAAGAAAAAACATTTTAAAAACATTCTAAAAACATTCTAAAAACATTTAAAGTGTCAATTAAAATTCACTGTTTTAAGAAATTATCGGTAAACATAAAAAAGTGATCTGGAATTTGACTTAAAATGTTTGAGAGATACTGGTTTTGAAGGAAGAATTGCTGGGTTTTCATACACACAATGAAGAGTATATGAGTATATACTCAGCAGCAGTAAATGTAAATGTCACATTTATACAAGTAACCAAAACTTGTTATAAAATATAAATATTTTCAGAATAGCAGCAATACAGTGTGGCTATTGGGATTCCATCATATTTTTACAACCAAAAGATGTATATTTTAATTTCCATATGAAGTTCACATTCTTTATAACCTCAAAGTTTTGTTTATTTCATGGGAGAGGTATTTTTAATTCTTGTGTTAAGCACGACCAGTTTACCTGAAATAGCTTAAAAAGTTCATCCCGAAGTTGCTTCTCATCTAGATCCTTGATGTTCTTAAGAAGTTCCTGAAAGTAAGTGCATAAGGCAATAACAGCCTCTTGGGATTCAAAGAAATTTTGAGCCTTTCCTTCCTTAAATACATCAAAGTTGTCAATAGGTGGGCTAAAAAGAGAAGGAGAACAAATATGTTGACATACTTCCCACAATCTTTCAGGACAGCACCTGCAAATGAAGCTCGAAGGTCAGCTTTTTCAGATTGTACTACAGGCCCTAGTTAGATTTTCCACTTCGAATTTGTCATACTAGATTTTCACACATCTCAGTAACAGCCTGATATTGCATCCTGCTGAAACAAACACTATGCAAGACACATTCATATTTCCAGCAATATATTCTGAGTGAACGACTGTTCAGTCGCAACAGTTCTGGAAATTGCCCATATAGTGAGCATTTTGAACGCCAATCTTCAGACAAGAGAATTAAAAATGTAACGTACAAGTGACGTAAGGTCAAGAACTGCTGGCCCAATTTTAAATATGTGTGCTAGAGTGTAGTTGCTATATCAAATTATCTTACGGTGATAGAAAGTTATTCCTATGGAAGTCTTTACTATGTTATTGGGAAATTACCATGACAAAGGAGAATGCTGTAATATATAAAAATTATAGATCAATCTATCATGAGACATATCTGCACATAGCCTGTTTGACAAATGACTGAACTTCCATCCAAGTATCTGCTTAAGAGCAACTAAATAATGGACATCAAGAAACTTAACGCTTACTAATGAAAAGTATCTGCTGATACTGASTCCCATTACTGTGTTCGCATCTCTGCAATACCAAGGGTAAATCATGGAGCTTTCAAATTTTTTTGGCAGCAAGGGGATCTTAAACTGTTCATTCCTATCCCATGGWGTTGTACTGGCACATCTCCCCAGTACCATACAAGTTTCTCCTGCCCAGTTATTTTTAACCAGTATCAGCTCCCAAAGYTCAGTGCAACACATGGTCTGCAAGCACTGCTGTAACTAAGAAGCTGGTGCAAAATGAACAACAGGGGCTGCTYAAGATGGGTCTACTACTGTAAGAAACAGTTCTCAAATGGTAACTTCAGATTTCAAGCACCAAAACCMGTCAGAATTCCTGACAAGATTTGTGGCTCTCATACTGTGTTTTAGGCTCAAGAAAAAATTCTAGACCAACAACCTTCTAGAAATGCTACATGATTTTCATATCTCAATTCACATYAGTCTGCAAGGTCAAGCTATGTAGTCAAGCTTAAGAGTCTTCACATAGACCAACTCACCAAAACTGAAGCATAAAAAAATTAACAAGCTTCAAATTCTGCTGAATGGAAGAAGTAAAGGTATTAATTTTAAATCTGAGGTGCAAGATAAAGGAATATGGCAAAAGCTTAAGATTTTCCTTTATCTTACTCCTCAGATTTTCCTTTATCTTACTCCTCCCTCTTTCTTTTTCAGTTTATCTTTCTCAGCTATCTTCTAAAAATGGGAAAGAGCAATGTTTTGCAAAGTAATATGCCAAGCTAGTAAATACCTACTTCTGTACTAATGCTGCATGGATTCTTCGATAGAGGTAACACTCTACATACAGCCAAGGGGACTGAAACCAACTTGGTTCACCATTTCCATTTGGTAAATTTCGTTGGTAGTCCAGGTATTGGTTCCAGAGCACAGCATCAGGCAGCTCATCCTCCAAAGGGGTCACTGGCTTGTCGGTTTGCAGCTCATTCCGCAGTTTGGAGAGGAAAGATATAGCTCTCTTCTCTGCTTCAACACCCTTCTAAAATAAGTGGAGAACAAAAGTTTCTATCCTGAACATTTATTCCTGTAGAGAYATAAATCRACTGTTCATGGAATGTGCGACATTTTAATTGCCAAATGAAAGTCCCTCACAAAAAAGAGCTTGATTCAACAAAATATATTTTGGTGAAAAAAGCTCATTTTAGACCCAATATCCTAGAATGAATTCCATATGGACTTTCTTCTTAGAYTGGACTTTTTGCTTATTAGAGGCAAAGAGTGTTGAAACACAGTCATGTTCAGAAGGTGTTACCATGTATCAAACACTACATCAACACAAAAACCGAAGTAAGTGATGCAGYTGCAGAAGTGACASATCAGGAAAAGGTTAGACAGAAAGRTGTGTTACAGAACTAATCAAAAATAGCTGCTAGAAATTATTTTTTAAAAAATSAGACCAAAGGATTAAGACAAATAATGATTGTATAAGACCCCAGCAAAAACAGGATAGAGAAGGGGTCGCAAGGGCTAGGGGGGAATAAACATTAGGGGAAAACAATAGACCTTACTCTTACCTCGCCATGTTCTTCAAAAAATTCATTTTTATGTCGATGCAGAGTATCAATAACTCTTGTGAGGATCTGGGGCAGTCTGTCTTTAATCGTAAAATATGCAAAGGATCTAAAAGAGAGAGGATCAATATTTTAATATTGTCAGCAAATTGTGAAATAGCTTCTATTTTTAAAAACAAACGCAAGATCTTTGTGCTAGTTTGGGCTGGAGTAGAGCTAATTTTCTTCACAGTAGCTGGTATGAGGCTGTGGTTTGGATTTATGCTGTAAATGGTGTCGATAACATAGGGATGTTTTCCTTATTGCTGAGCAGGGCTTCCACAGAGCCAAGGCCTTTTCTGCTTCACCCCACCCCACCAGCGAGGAGACTGAGGGTGGACAAGGCATTGGGAGAGGACACAGCCAGGGCAGCTGACCCCAAAAGACCCAAAGGCTATTCCGGACCATATGSTGTCATGCTTAGCAATAGAAACCAGGAGGAAAAGTTGGCCAGACAGCCACTGAACCAGCATCAGTCAGCTGATGGTGAGCAATTATTTTCATTTGCCTTCCTTGTTTTCTTGGGCTCTATTTGTCTTTGTTCTTTTTATTAAAATTTATTCTCATTCCAATTATTAACTGCTCTTACCTCAACCCACAAGTTTTCTCACTTTTACCCTTCCCATTCACTTCTCCCCACCCCACTGAGCTGTGTGGTACTTTGCTGCCAGCTGGGGTTATAACAAAACAGCATTGCAAACCGGYCAGGTTCTTGTGACTATTTCTGAAGAAAATTATAAACAGGAATCTTTTAAGRAAGAAAAGCTGAATGAATGGCCCTGCMAAAACAGTGAAAATTTGCCGTTTATTCTAGGCTAAAACGCGACCTCTATTGCTCAGATACCCAGACGCAAAAACAGGGAAATGTAAAACTAAAAGCACAGATATCTGTTTAAAGTTTATCATGTATCTCATATCAACAAGAAATGCACTCTCCCTTATATATTTTATATTTTCTCCAAACGCTGTTTATGTACGAGGACAACAAGCAGAACGCAGCCAGCCCCACAGAGAACGCAAACCCGGCCTGGAGGATGATTTTTATTGTAAGATTTCTGCCCGGTGGGTAAGGCCCCCGGCCGAGCAGGAGCACAGGGGGCACTGGGCCGGGACCGACACCGCCCCAGGGCCCGGATGAACCGGTGACTGCGGCGGCGGCAGCAACTCGCCCACAGCGCCGCCTACGGGTCCCGCAGCCCCGCGCCACGCCGGCGCTGCTGTCTCCGCCCGCCCTCCCGGGCCGAGAGCCGCCCCCAGGCCCCGCCCGGCGCCCGAAGACCGCCGCTCCCCGGTGGCGGGGCGCCGGACGGTCCCTCAGCTCCCACCCGCCGCCCGCCTCGCTGCCGGTGACGAGCGCGCCAGGCCGTGACGGACCCCTTAAACCTGCCCGACAGGGACACCGGGAGCGCCGGTACCGCCGCCATCTTGCTCCGCCCCCCCGCGCGCCGGCGCCCCGCCCTCCCCTTCCCCCTCCCGGAAGCGGGGCCGAGCGGCGGCCGGACGTTATTGGCGCGCGGGCCGCGCCCCGCCGCGCGGCGACGGACGGGCGGGGCGTGTCGGT